ATGTAATCAAAATTTTCTTGCTGTTTTTTTTTTTTTTTTAGGAGAAAAGTATGAAATCGTTCTGTGAATTAGACTTAAATTCCAGCAGGTGGTGCTGTTGGAGTTTCCCAGGCAACCGCTTCTGGGTATTAATGTAATACATGATGGTTTTCTCTTCCTAGAATGACAAACGCCTGCCACAGGAAGTGCGTCCCACCACACTACAAGGAAGCGGAGCTAACCAAGGGCGAGTCTGTGTGCCTGGACCGCTGCGTGGCCAAGTACCTGGATCTGCATGAAAGACTGGGCCGGAAGCTCACAGAGCTTTCTGTGCAGGACGAGGAAATGATGAGGAAAGCAGCTGTGGGGAGTGGATAGCAACTGGGAGGAAGAAAAGAGAATCTGTGTAGAGAAGAACAAGGGTTTGGGCTGGGAAGGGCATATGTGGGTTTTAAAAGACTTAAATGTAAATTTAAATCTATTGTTGGGTTCATTAGGATGAACTTTATCCTCTTGCATCAGAGGATGATGCAGACATCAGCACTGAAGGAATTGGGGAGAGTTTCTGTGCTTCAAGAGCCTCTCAGGATTGGTATCTTCTTCCATATCGTCTGTAGATCTCACCTACTGAGAACTGACTGGAAAGAAGGACGTATGCTCACACTTCTGAGTTCAGCTTAATGGCTGCTCTCCATCTGTCTGTAAACCTGAATCATTTTAATTAATGAGCTGTTACTGTTGATGAAATGAACCCAGTCACCCTTTCACTGTTGCTTTTTTTATTTGAAAGAGATAAGTTAACATTTCAGCTGATTTTTTTTTTCCATTTAGCTGTGTATAACAAGTTTTTTTTTTAAATTAAGTTCTCATGCAGATACAAGCTGCCAGGGGTCCCCTGACCAGCAGGGGCCGATATAGGGCCTCTTTAAATACGTCATGATTTCAGAATGCTGAATATCAGAATAATCTAGATAATGTTTATAGCTAATGTTAATCTAAGTTTATTCTAACTAAAAACTAAAAATGTGCTTATGTCTTTGCTGGTCTTCATTTAATGTCATGCACCCTACCCGCAACTACAAATGTTAATAAATAGCTTAAAATGGTCCGTGTTTTGTTTTTGATGTTTTCTTCTTCTTGGATTTAATCTGTTCTAAACTGCTGCTCAGCAGACATGACGGCCACCGTCCAGGTAGATCTGATCTCCTCCACAGAGTATTTACAGCCATTTCTCTAGTAAATAACAGAAATCAGGACACTGGTTTGTTAATATAGAAACCGATTAGGAAAAGGTCAAATGTATTTAGGATAGGGTTGATTGGTTTGATGGTAGAGAGAATTGGGCCCTCGGAGCCCAATATATAAGGCTGAGTTTATATAAGGAGTTTTGAGCTAAATCAAAAAACTGTTTTGTATTTTTTGTTTTTTTTTGCCCATATTAGTTTAAATCAAATGTTTTCAATTGAGACACTGCAACATTTATCCCTTTTTTTTCCTAAGCTGCTGTATAAAATGGACTTTGTTCTTTGTTTTGCTTGCACTGACTTTGGTGGAGCACAGAGTGCGTCATGGTTAACGTGTCCTTGTGTAAACTACAGCAACTGCTATTAATTAATCTAAATAAAACCAGTAGAGGCTGTTTATCCTCCCAGTAGCTGAATTGCTCCCAAACCTCTCCAAGATTAAAGATGTCAGGATTTAAATAAAATGCAGTTGAAGTATTGAGCTTCTTCATCACACATGGGGGCATATTAATATAGAGGCATTTGTTTTCCTGTTCATGTCAGTTATTGTAGCTTACAGCTAATGAAAACATTGAATTCAGCCTCATAAAAGTGGAGCGTCACATGAGAGCAATTAAAATAAATCATTTTCGATACAGGAATGTGATTATTTGGCACCAGAGGAGCTATTCATATTAATACAAGTGAAAACGTACTAATGGGAGAATGCATATTTGTCTTCTACTCACATTTTTGGTTCAATTTTAGTCTAATAGAAAATGTGTGCATTCCTTCATTAGACTTAGCTAAATACAACAAGGGGACCTAATGCCCCTCTGCTGTTGAGAACTAATGAAGTAAACATCAATAAGGTAGGTTTTAGAGGATTTTTGACCAAACGGGTATTATAGACCCTTTACCATAATCCTGTTTTATAAGAAAAGTCAGACTATTTTTTTTTATATTCCTTGAAAATATATTTTAAATTGACTAAAGCAAAAAAATATTTTTTTATATTTCAAATTTTTCTGGCTCAATAGTTTTGACTCCCATTGGGGCCCTTAGTTCTACAACACAACACAGTTTATTCTCAATCATTGTCAAGTTCCCCATGAGGATGAGCTACGATAGAGCATTAATCCAGAACCTGGTGGTTCGTGCTGCGCTTTATTTAATTATGTTGCTTTGAAACTGACTGGAAGAAGAAACAGCCTTCAGAGTTTAGTGTCACAAAGCCCTTAACAGACATTTACAAGGTGTGGGCTGCAGCTAGAGTCAAAGCTCTAGTGATTTGTAGATCTTGACATTAACCATAGTGATGGCATTCCTTATGCAAGGCACTAGTGAACTAGAGCATGTGAGAAGCATCCTGTCTGAGGCAAAAAAAAGGCTGAAAAACTGCCTAGTGGTCCAAGTTTGGTCCTTTGTAAATATGACATTTGTTGCACTGCATAGGAAACCAAGGAAAGTCACAGAATCCAAACTGCTTCAGGTTCAGAGTGAGGTTTCAACAGTCAGGGAATGTTAGTGTCTGTTTTTTCCCCAGCTTTGTATTGTCATTACACTGCCACAAGTACAGAGCAACGAAATGAACTCTCTGCATTTAAGCTGGTTAAGATTCTCAGTCATCCAGGTCATAGTCCTTCCAAAAAAAAATTGGAAAAACAAGCCACTGGACTTTGTTTCCAAGTTTGAAGATGTTTCGCTTCTCATCCAGGAAGCTTTTTCAATTCAAAATGTCAGAAATAGAGTTGGGTTCGAAGCTTTGTGCTCATTTTCGCATTAGCTTTGAACTCAACGGTAATTCTGACATTTTTGATTGAAAAAGCTTCCTGGATGGGAAGCAAAATGTCTTCAAACTTGGAAACAAAGTCCAGTGGATTATTTTTAATTTTTTTTGGATTCTCTGCATTTAACCCATCCACTTGGAGAGCAGTGGGCTGACATTGTGCGGCGCTCGGTGAGCAGTGTGGGGTTAAGGGTCTTGCTCAGGAATCCAGAGTGCAGTGTGTTGTCGAGGTCTACCAGGACAGCCTGTACTAACACCTGTTTAAAGGATTATGGACAACAAAGGTCTATAGAGTTTTATCAGTGGAAAGATGACCATGCAAATTATATTGAGGTAATTTAGCACAAGCCTATTTAAAGCCACATTTATACAGTTCTGCATTATAGATTTAGTAAATCCAGGAAAAGAAACCCCAACTAAGAATAAAACATTTTATTGATCATGTTTTAATCAGATGAACTGGATTAAGGATTTTATTGGTTATCATCCATGATCGACATTCATAGGAATAGATCTCTGTTTTTGTAATGTCCGAAACAAGTTTTTTTCCCCCTCTTTTAAATAATACAGTATATTAACACCGTTTTCTAATGAATTAAAATGTAGCTCCGGTTCTAAGCAGACTGTGAATGTGTAGCATGCAGCTGCTTCTAACTCAACAACCTGACAGACCATTAGCAGCAGACTGTCCCTTCCTTGGTGCTCTGCATTGAGTAGGCAGGGCTTCTTCAACAGGAGTGGAGCTAGATGGGGGGGCCATGGTTGGCCATGGCCACCCTTAGCCAATCATTGGCCACCCCTGCCATTGTTTCCATCTAATTCAGATAGTGGCAACAGTAATACTCTCAAGTGGAATATTCAAAACATTTAAAATTTTCATATATTAACAATTACTTGACAATAAAAACACTGTTGGTAATTAAGCACATTAATATACTAACATTAAAGATAATAAGTAAAAAGTTCAAGCAGAAATAGATTTTGTGTTTTATGGGGTAAAGAGAAAATGATGTGTCTCTGCAAGTCATTTAGGATCCTTCAGTAAAATCATAGATAAATAATTATTTTCATAAAAACGTATTAAATAATCAATTTATGTAGATATTAGTACTTGTGAATATCAATTTTATGCAGAAAGATTGCTGATAAAAGTTATGGAGGACCAATCCTGCCATAATTAAAAATATGTACAGAAATAAATGAAGGACTTGATAATATAAAATTGCTTGAAAAAGTAGCTAATATTATGAATTTGTATGCCATTAAATGTGACAAAATAATAAAAAGAAGATATTTCTTCAACAATTTATAAATTATTCATAAAAGAATATATATTTTAACTTACACTTTTATTTTTACTTTTCTTCTTGCTTTTATGCTGACTTATTTTTAACCTACTTCTTTTCTGTTGTACATTTTATTGAAGTCTTTATTTTGTCTTTGTGTATTTATTGCAAGTGGGGTTTTTTTGTTCCGTATTTCCACTGCAACCTTTTTTATGTTTTCATATTTATTCCCACCAACATTTTTAAAAGATGCTTTTATTTTTGTCTCATAATGATTTTACACTTTTTCAAGCAATTTTATATTATTAAGTCCTTCATTTATTTCTGTACATATTTTTAATTATGGCAGGATCAGTCCTCCATAAAAGTAGGTAAGTAATGACGATGGAAAAGATGTTTCCCCAAAACTCAAACCTGACAGAATTTTTTTCCTCTATACCTTCTATCTAGAAAACACGGGTGTTTGAACATATTTGTCTATTTGTTAGCAAAGGCTGTGGGAAAGTATAGTTGGTCTTTATCTAGAAAATATGGATGTTTTGCTCGTTAATTATCCTGTTGGAACAGTGTAGACTGACTCTGAGGTTCTGGTGCCTATCAGCTTTCGCCCCTCTGTCTACATTGGTTATTGGCCACCCTTATAAAATTGTCCTGGCTACGCCTCTGTCAATGCGGGTATCTGCGCCTTTAAGACGGACCGGGTGAAGCAGTGAGGAAGTGAGAAGCCAAACTTTCGTTTCCCCCGTGAAACTTTTGTATTTTTACCTACAGTAGAAGCCTGTGCTTCAGAAAGGGGAAGAAACAAATAACCGAGACTAGAAGCAGCGGAAGGTTTCCGCCTGTCAGCGGCTGGCAGGTGGACTCTGCTCACTCTTCAGGAGACTCCCCAGACCCACAAGGTGAGTGCTTTTCTACTGTCTGCAGACGATCAAACAAACACGTATTAATATGAAGGGTTTTTTTTGGAAAACAAGCCTCAGACTATGACCTGAAGCTGCTCTGTGTTATGGTGAAACTGGTTTCAGGCTTTAAGCTGGTATGCACACATTATTACAGCGTAATAACTAAAGTCAGACTAACTCTTTCTTTTGTTACTTTACTTTTGTTCCCAGAGAATTTGCTATGCTACAGTAATTTTCAATTATTGCATTGAACTATAAAACATATTTTATTCAATATGAGGAAGTAGCTGTTATATGTGTGAAATACTTCAGCATTATGTGACATGTTAAAATTAGATAATTACTTCCTCATAAACCTGAAAGTCAAAACTAAATAACTTCTGTATAGATCTAGTAAAAAACTTGGATGATCAACCCATTTGAAATATTATATTTCTGAATTCTGCAACTTGTTTCTTTGTTTGTTGAAAATATTCCAGGTAGGATATTAACATGGTTGATTCATGATGTTGATGGGCTCTGATCTTTGGTTTGTTTCTAACACAGACTTTAACCTCATAGACAGTGCTTTGTAAAAATGCTCTTGAACTTTTTCACCATTTATCATCACTGAATTTAAAAAAAAATATTTATGATATTTTGACACAAATAGGGCATCATTGGGCCATACAAGGGAAGTGGTGCTTGTTTTTTTGTATTGTAGTTTATGATAAAATATGCACAGTTTGGCATGCAGTTGTATTCAGCCTCCTTTACATAAAAAAACCCCCCAAAACATTCCCATCACATGATGCTACCACCACTGTGTTTTATTCTTGTTGGGTGGTGTGTTCAGGGACTTCAGGAAATTAATTTACTAATAAGTTCTGAAAAATTCTTAAAAAACGTTTCCCATGTATTTTGGTTGATATTGTTAAAGATGTTTTTATGCTTTTAGAAGTAAAAACATAAATATCTTGTTTATGAACTTTTCTGAGCCTAGAGTTGTCCTGTCAATTAAATATCCATCCATCCATTTTCTGACATGCTAATCCCTGCTAGGTTTCGCGAGGGGTGCTGGTGCATATCTCCAGGTGTCAATGGGCTCAGGGGCGGAGCTAGATGGGGGGCCAGAGGGGGCCATGGCCCCCCTTTACCAATCATTGGCCACCCTGTGGCCACCCCTACCATTTTTTTTCACTCTAATACAGATGGTGGCAGCAGTAATACTCTCAAGTGGAATATTCAAAACATTTAAATTTTTCATATATTAACAATTACTTGACAATAAAAACACTGTGGTTAATTAAGAACATTAATATACTAACATTAAAGATATTAAGTAAAAAGTTCACGCAGAAATAGATTTTGTGTTATATGGGGTACAGAGAAAATGAGGTGTCTGCAAGTCATCTAGGAGTCTTCAGTGAAATAATAACTATTTTAGTAAAAATGTATTAAATAATCAGTTTATGTAGATATTAGTGCTTGTAAATATCAGTTTTATGCATAATGATTATTGATATAAGTAGATAAGTTATGACAATGGAAAAGATGTTCGCCCCAGAACTCTAACCTGAAAGAATTTTTTCCACTATAACTTCAATCTAGAAAGCACGGATGTTGAAATATAGGAAATTTACGCACCTATTTGTGAGGAAAGGCTGCAAGAAAATATAGTTAGTCTTTATTCAGCGAATATGGATGTTTTGCTTGTTAATATTCCTGTTGGAACGGTGTAGATTGACCCTGAGGCTCTGGCGCTTATCTACTTTCGGCCACCCATCTGAATGGACGAGAAACGGAGTACATCCTGGACAGGTCGCCAGTCTACTGCAGGGCAATATAGAGACACAGAGGACAAACAGCCATTTACGCACACTTACACCTAAGGGGAATTTAGAGAAACCAATTAACAAGTCATGTTTTTGGACTGTGGGAGGAAGCCAGAGTACCAGGAGAGAACCCACGCATGCACAGGGAGAACATACAAAAAAAACCCGGAGCTTCTTGCTACAAGGCAGCAGTGCTACCCACTGTACAGCCCCAATTTAATATGTTTAAACTAAATATAAATCTAATCTAAATAGGCTATAACAACAGGTCTCAGAGTGTTTTATGACCAAGGAAAATTGTGAATAAACGCTCGTAAAAAGAACAACCACATAACACAGTTTTAGTCTTTCTCATCTTTAGACAAACAGCGAAATAAGAACACAGGAAAGCCGATAAAACATGTAAGATCATTTGGAGAGCATGACCTGCATGAATAATAGTTAAAACAAAATAGAATAACTTCTTTATGTCATTTAATTACAGATTACTTTACAATTCATTTAACTCACCATTAGTGGGGCGACAGTGGCGTCGGGTGCAGGAGTTCGCCCTGCAATCCGAGGGTTGTCGGTTCAAGCTCCAGCTTTCAGTGTCGTTGTGTCCTTGGGCAAGACACTTCACCCGCATTGCCTGCTTATAGTGGTCAGAGGGCCTGGTGGCGCCAGTGTTCAGCAGCCTGGCTTCTGTCAGTGAGCCCCATGGCAGCTGTGGCTACACTGTAGTTTGCCACCATCTGTGTGTGAGTGTGTGCCTGAATGGGTGAATGACTGAATGTAGTGTAGACTGCATTGGTCAAGTCTCCTGAATTGAAAAAGAGCCTTATAAGTACAGGCCATTTACCATTTATTTGTCTATTATTTAATTAGAAAGAGGAGAGCAAATAATTAAATACGTGAGTTAACAACCTAGTTGTAAATCTTAGGAACAGGAAAATTGGCCAAATGAATCTACCTTTCTGTATTTGTTGTTCTGCCTTATAAAGAAAAGTGAAACCTCATGTGAGACCTCAGAAATCTGGTTCTGTTTGAAAGGAAAAACTATGAAAAAAGTACTGATTTAACAAGTGTTTACAATGAAACATTTAATAGCACTGTAACATCATTTGCACACCTAGTCAGGTTTATTCTTCATAAAATTCCTGATCTTCATGCAAATAGGTATGTTTTCAAAAAGCTAAATGAGAATGGTTTTTGATATATCAATTTCTGATATGTTAATTATACTATGTGGTTTTTTATGTTAATCATAAAAAAACAACTCGATAGATTACTATTAGTTTTACTGATACCTTTCATAGTAAAAACATGATTATAACTGATGAGACACCATCAGATTGGGCTTTTAAAGAATGAAAAGTAGCTATTTTTATTGTAGTTTGATTTATTTTGATGATAAGTAGGTGGATTTGAGTTGACCTGTTTTTTTTAATCTTGCATACTGCCCTCCTGTGGTGCCTATAGATGGAGGGAACTGAGGAAGATCAGCTCATTGAAGAGGCCGAGCACATTGTAGCGCCTCCCAATGGTGGTGTGAATGAACTGCATGATGTGGGACAGGAGGACAACATGCAGGGAGAGGTGAGCTCTGCTCAGAATCAGTAAAGGATGTTTCCTCCTTGACGTAGATGGCTGCTGATGTAACCTCATTTTTCTGCTCAGATGGAGGAGTTTCTAGGCCCACAGGCACAGTACAACGAGGAGGAGGAGGAGAGGAAGTACTATAGAAGGAAGAGGCTGGGAGTCATCAAGAATGTTGTGGCCAGCAGCATTGGAGCTATGATTGTGTACAGTGTTTATATGGGTCAGCATCCATCCATCCATCCATCCATCCATCCATCCATCCATCCATCCATCCATCCATCCATCCATCCATCCATCCATCCATCCATCCATCC